ATACAACTCCCAGAAGAATCATTGTACGTGGTCTCAAGGTGAGCTATGCAGTGGTAACCCCAACTCCCAATATCTCCCAATCACACTTTTCTCGGATGCCACACTGCTTCAAGCAGGCATGTTGCCAGGCACCAAAGTATACTTTGGCTCGCAGGGAACTCATCCTTGCCAAATTATAGTTACACAATCCATTTCTCAAAGAAATAAACATGCAGGGTGCATGTCCAAATCGGTCGACTTTCAGGACAAATTCGTCTAGGCGAGCCATGAGTATACGACCCCTGAAACAGTCGAGACTGTTGAAGCTACCACTGAAACATGCCAGCTGGACCCCTATATAATGATGGCACAGCTACCAAAATCCGATCACTCGCCAGCATTTGCTGGGGGGCCCTCTTCAGCCAACCGCTTCAAAGCCACCCCACCATTGTACTTCAACTTCAAGATCTCCGTCTCATGCGGTCCATATCCCTCAGACCCTTCTTCCATACCAAGTGCCTAGGCCCCGAAGCTTGTAAATGGAATGGTGGCATGTCCAGTGTTTAAAATGCGTTTGATTGACACGTGGACATTGTTATATTTATACACAGCCATTCAAACACAAAATAACTTCAACAATCAAGTTGCTGCCATCTCCGCACATTTAGTAGCAACAGCTGTACGGTAGCATGGATAAGCACGCGAATCATTGAAGGAGAAGTGGTGTGGGTCAGTTTGGTTCTCGGTGTCATGAACTCCACACGTGGTTTTGGTCCAGTAAATGTTAAGCCGATGCTTTTCAAGCGGTGTTGTCAGGCTGCGCACATGGGCTTTGAATTGAGAGCTTTTGTGGTCCCAGTCAGCTCCAACCTGGTGGGCAAACTCCACTAGGGTGGTGACTTGCTTCTCACAATGGTGCTGGATATCAGGGTTGGTTTGGCCACCCCGACCTCCCCGGCCTCCTCCCCGCCCTCTTCCCTTGCCTTTTCCCATGTTTTTTCCCTTTGTGCTCGAAGGTGCAGCCTTTGGCTTTGTGGCCTTTGAAGCCTTTGACTTTGCTTGTGTGTTTGCTTTGCTTTTCGCCCGTTCACCTTTGTTTGTCTTAGACTTTGGTGGTTTGGCCCCTTTGCCTGTACTTCCGCTTGCACCACTTGGCGGAGTCTTGGCCTTTCTTGGCTTTTTGTTTTGGCGGCCATGCTCTGCATCAGCAGGTTCATGTGCCAGGCCAGATTCAGCATCCAAAGACCATTTCGATGACCTTTTCAAAATGCCACGCTTTCGTTTTGAAGGCGAATCAGCTTTAACCTTCCGTGCCTTGCCTCCCTTCCTTCCCTTCTTTCCCTTCTTTCCTTTCCTTCCTTTCCTCTTGCTGGCCTTGTTGGCAGCAACTTTCCTGCGGCGTGTTTCCTTCGCATCAGCCTTGAGTGACAATTGGTCATTCCGCGTCACCAAGGGCATGTCAGGCTTGTCCACCTGAGAGGGGGTAACACAAACATGTTGGCTCACACACACAAGCCAGACATCAACCAACGTTCAAAGAGTTGAATATGTTTCACGGGTTGATGCACTGTAAATAAACCAGCAAACACAAATAGAAGGCCACATGTATGGGACCCTATCCAACCTTGCCCTCCGTCAGGCCGGCATCCCCACTTCCATCACAAGTTGGAGTCTTGGTCTCAGGAACCTGCGGGGCCTTTGCGGCCAGTGGTTCGGTGGCAACAGGCGTTGGCAGAGCAGGTGGAGACACACCCTGGTAGTTCTTTCTCAGGGCTGCGGTTGGTACCTCCGGTGAATTGGTGCGAATGGGTGATGGGCGAACCTCTTGGTTCATGATGTCGACGGGCTGTGTGTCATTTTGGTCTGAAACATCAGTGGGAAGGGCAGGCCGAGCACCTGCCAATTGCCAGATATTGAAAGACCGTATATACAGACACACACAGTCATATAAAGGTTAAAATAAGCAGCTTGAGTTGTCATTGCCCACCTGGGGGCCCTGGGGGCATGTCTTGCCCCTTCCAATACGCAATTTGCTGTTGCAAGTGCGCCTTCCGCTGGCGAATCCTCAGAAGATCTCAGAAGATCTCAGAAGAATCCATCGGAACGTTGAAAGATTTGGTTGCAAACCCAAACAGTCACATATATAAGGGTCTTGCTTTTCCAAGGGTTTCTTGGCCACTTCCAATTGCACCAACTTTTCCTTGCCTTTAGCAGCCAGTTTCAACACAGCGACACTTGGATTCATTGTTTGACCATATCCAAAAACACATGTGCTGAAAATGATTTTGTTGGGATCCCCTCCTCGCCTTTACGGTCTGCCTCATTGAGGAGGTTTTGCATGAGCTGCTGCTCCGGCGAAGTGTCAGGACTCCCACTGGGCTCGGTGGGTTCGGCACAGGGTGGCGCAGGGGATGTGTCTTGAGGATCAGTACTGGGTGGCTGCACTGGTGGCTGCTGGTGAAGCTCAGGGGCTACATCTTGGCTATCATTAAGAAAGATGGGTTCACTGGATGGCTTCAATGGCTGGGACTTTGCATCCACTGGGGTAGTAGGGATATCTTTGCCAACAATTTCACACCCGGATGACCCATCGCTGTCAGAATCAGATCCCGAAGAATCATAGGCATCATCATCCGTCTTTTCTTGTTTTGGCTGCCTTGAAGCCTACAAACACAAAAGACATCAGGAACAGGGTGGTGGCTCCATGCACTGGTTCTTTGATCAAGTGTGCAAAAGACATGCCGCACCTTTGCTGCCCGTTTTTCTTCAAGATGCTTTCGGATTGTGGTTACCTTGTCCTATAAACTGTTGAAAGTCTTCCAAACACACCACATGAAATTTAAGATCTCAACTTATCAAATGAAGAGCTTTTCAATTCTCAACACACTGTGGCACCCCCCCAGAAAAAGTCCTCCAGGAACGGGTTGAGAACCACACACCAGTTTTGGAAGCGGTGTACCTTGGCAAATGACTAGGCAACATCTGCGAATGATCAAATAGGATTTATGAATCGATCTTTGAGTGAGGCTAGCCTTATAAGATTCCCATTTGCCTCCTGTCACCATTCCCATCCATGTATATAACTTGTTACAGGGGATGGAACACCACAGGTTTGATGGCTAGCCCACTCAAAAATTGAGACCTTTGGCCAGGTTGCATTGCTGACCTTCGCACGCCGAACCTTCATTTTTGCGAAGGCAATGATCTTCCTAATGCACCATGAGTCCAAAATGATTTGCGCCTCGCCAACCACAATGCTGCAAGCTTTGTAGAGACAATCAATCTCTTCACGGAGTCGATGGACTGGTAGGGAAGGGTGCCCTTCTACACAGGCAGTTCTCCCAAGCAGCGCGTTGATCATCTCATAGACATGGTCTTGGTCAGCTGCATGAATAGTCTCTGGGTTGAACTTGTCATCAAACAAGACTCCTGTTTCTTTCAGGAATCTCCGGACTGGCTCCAACTCTTCCAACTCCCGGTGGAGACCTGTCAGATCAACCTTTGGTTTGCTGGGGTCAGCTTCTGCATCCGATGTAGCCATGGCAGCAAAGCAAAACGTGGCACGTCCTACTTGATCTCAAAATGTTGGCTCCGCTCACTCCATTCCAACATGTTTAAGATGTGCAGACTGGGTTGCATTGGCAAACAACTCTTTGTAACCCCTGATAGCCATCACCGTAGCAAAGGGAAACCACTTCAGATCCACAAGAACCACCCTCCATCTTCCAGATGCCACATCCCTGCACCGCAGGACCGTGCCTCAACATCTTTGGCTGCTCCCACCACATTGGCCATGGAACGCGACCGTCGGCCCAAGCCGGTCAAAAAAGAAGCATGGTCAGGGCCAGGGCTTGTGGGAACCCATTAAGATTGGGGGCTCTACCAATCCTGCCGTTTAATCCATTCAATCGAATGCTCTTGAGATGCTTGATCCTGCCTGGAGCATGTAAGGCACAGTTGTGTGCATATGGTTCTTGGTTGCTTCATCCCAGTCCATCCTGTGAGCACTTTAGCAAGGCAGGAATTTGGCAACCTCAGGTGACCCAAAGGGGATTCAGATGGTTTAAGACCCACAATCGGTTGCAAGATGGTTGAATATCCATGATCGCAGGGATTCATCAGGTGAGAATAGTCTATATATAATGGGATTCATCAGGAACCCATCTTTTGCAAAGAAAACCGGGTTTTGTAGTTACATTGATGAGAAAGCCGGGTTTTCGACAAAAGACCTACAATAAAGTAGGTTCATGAAGCGCTAGGTAGGTCGAATCATGAGATGTCAAAACCAGCAACATCCGAGGGGTTGTGCCAACTGGGGCTACCCTATCTTCTGATGTATATATCTCCATTAAACAAAACTGGGATGGTCCACTAGAATGGTATCATATGGTTGTGGGTCAAAACCTCGTAACCCTGGTTGACCCCTGAAAAGTGAAACAATCCTGTATTTTCGGCATGAACCTTTCATGGTTTGTATGGTTTTCTCCCACATCCACCCATACCCACTATGAAACCATTTTGGAGTGTGTGTGTGCTTTGCAGTTTAGATTCAGATGTTCCTCCCACTTCCCGGAAAGCTTCACAGTAAGTCCGGGAGCCCCAATAGAATCTCGATCTGTGGGGTGAGTGTGTCCAGAGCTGCTTCTTGTTTCTCCAAAAAAAATCTACGAACGGTTTTCCTCAAAGAACAGTTGAAAACTTCATCTGTCCAACCACCACCATCATCATCGAAACACAGTCGTCATTCATCACATCACAATCATCAAAACGGTCACCGAGTCATCCTCATCACATCACCATCAGGGCCACGACAATCATCACCATCATCATCAAGGTGTAGAGATGCAGGTGAAATACAGGTGTCTAGACAGGTGTTTGAATACAGGTGTAGAGACAGGTGTTGGGGTATAGGTGATGTGTAGAGGTACAGGTCAAAACACCCATGCATAACACACCTATTTACACAACTACCACTTCTATTGCTCGACGTAAGGCTCTTCTCTCAAGGCAGCGGGCTGGTCCGGCCGGTCGTTGCTCGACGGAGACCACGACCCTTTGCGGAGATTGAAGTGACGTCCGTGATGTTGCTGGGCCATGCGGTTCGGCGTGGCCTTGGTGGAAAGTGCGTTTACGTGTCCTCCAGTGTGCGAACAGCAACTGTCTGCAGCACACTGCAACGCTCGTTTCAAAGGCTATGTTCCATCCCGCGAAAGGCATAAAGCGGTGTCGTGCTGCTATGCATTTTTTCACTTATGATTATCACCATCATCAACCTCCTTCTCCTCCTCATCATCATCACCTTGTTTCATCTCCTGCTGTGCTTCGGGCCACCCTGTGACCTGTGTTACTTAAAACTCGCAAAGTGAATCCTCTGAACAATATCTTATAAAACTTAGATAATTTTTAGCCAATATTAGAAACAAATTGGTGTTGCTATGTTGTTGAAAATTATTTGATGTGATTTGTGCAGATTGGGTGGGAATTGCTTGACCCAAGTCATCCCCGAATTCATGGATTCTGGCTCTGGCTCTAGAAAGGGAGAAACTACCAGCGACTGCTCTTGACCCCGGCGACATGTGCAGCCGAGTGTCACATTATCCATCAAAGATGTGATGCTTGCCATCACGAAGGACGTGTTTCTTCACTCTGCTTTTGACAAATCCATGTCGTGATAAACAGATCCATGTCGTCAGCATCGTGGACTGTTGCACTCAAAACCTCATGTTCGAATCGATCGTCACATCGGGCTCTTGATGGCCAATCATCCTTCCTTGTCGCTGATGCGTCAACCAAAGGCTGGTCAATCATCTGGGCCGTTAAGCACCGGAGGTCTAGACTTCATGGGTTACGTGGTCCCACCTTGGTTGAACTGGTGGCCATGCAGAGTCTGTCCGATTTCAAAAAGCTGCGGAGAGGGAGCTGAGGAAACTCTTTGAAAACCCAGAAGGATCCTTTGTTGGAGCGAATGGAGGGAAGCAAAACCAGCGCAAAGCAAGAGTGCTGCTGGTCTTCAGGCCTAACCAAAAACATCAATCAGCCCACTCTGGTGCTTGTGAAAATTCAGGTTATTGTGGTGTCTTGCACATTTGAACACGGACGGCCAAACCACGGTTGGACCATGAACTCCTTGCTGCGCAGGTCTCCATGTGGGGTGGGGGAAATCCTCCAAAGGTAATTAAAAGGTGTTATACATTTATACAGTTATACAACAAAATAGTGACACCAAAATAGATTGCTGTTAGATGTTGAATCCTCTATTTAATAATATGTGCAATTGTATTGGATAGCATTTCTATCGTGAGGCTTCCATCCCAGGTGGGTTGTGTTGTCAAACTCTTCCACTGGAGTCCTGGAGGAAGCGAACGCAGGTACGCACGTGCTATTAAGTAGGAGGACATGATGTGTCTGCACGTGCGGTCATGATGTGTCAGTTCAAGTTGATGGAACCGCTGTGTGTTCTCCGGTGAGCAAATTTGACATTGGTTTCAGAATAGATTGTACAAGTCTGTCTGACCCCGACAAATGGTCCATGCAAGCCGCCTCCATGGGGATTGTGTCATCTACTCTGAGCCTTTTAAAATGGACAGGACCTGTTGAGGTCATTTGGTGGGTCAAATCGCAACCAATTCCTCCCGTCCAAGTCAATCCAAGAGCGCCCACTCACCTCCCGGTTGTCGGGGTTCTTGTCTGGGTGCCATTGCAAAGCCTTCTCTCGGTATGCCTGCAGGGTGGGGAAGCCGTACATGGCCAACCTTTGCACAGATCATGCGAGCTGTACATGACTTGACACCCTATGCCTACATGTAACTAGCATTAATTCATTCATTGCCCTAGTTACTTTCTACAACATCTATATACCTAGAACCCATTTGACCTCTGTTTTGATAGGACAAAAATGTTTTGGCTCCAAAACAGGGGTCAATCAGGTTCTAGGTATGTACATCTACCAAGTTGCAACACCTAAGGCCCAAGGTCTCCCCTCAGCCGAAAAACATGCTCTCAGGCCCAGTCGATGGGTATTGGGAAGAGACCCACAGGTTCCACCTGATGGCATGGACCTGACTGAAAGACGATTTTACAACCTACAACCCACGTGGTTTTTCAGGTTCCATCTTAATCTTCAAGGGTGTATGTTGTTTTGATCCTTTCTGCAAACAAGCATACTTTTTGCAAAGTCGAAAGCTTGTACTGAGGAAATGATTTGGATAAGGCCGCTCTTATTAAGAAGGACACCTGCCGCAAAGGACCCTTTGAAATGATGCAATGATTGACACCAGATTGAAACCTGGTATGTGAAGGATACCACTGATACCACTGCCCAATTCCAAACCTGTCAAAATAGTGACCTATCCCTCTCCATGTATATTAGTATAATATTGGCCTGTGGTTTTCACCACCCCAACCAATTTCGGGAGTCATATGCCAGTCCCAGGTCCAGGTCCGGTCTCTGTCTGGGTATTTCAATCGAACCCAAACACGATCCCTTCGTGTCGGGCCACCTGAAACCCAATTGAGTCGTGTAACTTTGGGGGATCCCCTGGCCCTGGCTGGGTAGACGGCCCGTCTCGTTTTTTTCCTTGGGCGGCCCCCTTTCCTCAGTTTCCCGGTGAAAAACGGTGGCCTTCTTCATCCTTCTGAAAAACCTCATGTGTACAGAAAATCAATCTCCCAACAAGCAAGTCAAAGGTTGACAAATTACTATAGTAAAACATCTGTCAAAGCCTTCTGTCGAGCCTTCTTGATGGCCTTGGCATCAGCGTCCTTGCTCACTCCAAGGATCTCGTAGTAGGAGTCTTTGGCATAAACCTGCCAGAAAACATCACAAAAACCATATGCAGTGCCGCTCAGTGGTTGCTTGCTTCCAATACGATGAAGAACGCTATATCTGAAATCACCTACTACACCTATTGTGTTGCGTCAGCATGCTAGCTCCGCTCACCTCCCTTATGTTGCACGTCGATTTGCTCAGGCCAGGATTTGTTGGAAGGTCACGACCCGCATTTGAAGCCTAGGACGTCCCACAGCCAAGGTGATTCAGATCTTCAGGGTCTTTCTGAAGGGGTGAAAACTCGATTCCTCCGAAGCACACCAGTGGGCCATCAGGTCAGCTTTTCCTTTATTTAAAGAGATGCGTATCAAAATGTGGTTGGATAACATGATTGTGCTTTTATCATGCGAAGCACCATTTTTTAGTAAGCACAACCAAGTAGATTTGGGGAATTGGACCCCTTGAAGAGAAGAACTTACCTCACTAGTCCTCGCTAAAACTTTGCGGTTTCATGTGTGTAATGCATTACCCGTTGAGGCGCTCTTCTTCCATGAAAAAGCCCATGACAGCCACAGCTGGTAGTCAGACCGCGCGCGAGACAGCAAAGGCTAAAACCAGTGGTTGGATGGTCTCCTGACTCCAAATGAAGAAGAATCCCGGAAAGCGGACATCAGCGATCATAAACTACAGTATCCAGCAAAACCCAAGTCCTACTTGCAGAACTTCTCTATCTCTATATCTCTCTCTCTCTGTGGCTCTGCGACAAGCAAAAGCAACCTCACGAAAGCAATGTTCCTCTGGATTGCTGGAAGGGGGTAAATTTGATTGGAACCATTGGAACCGTTTCAATTCTTGACTCTCCACCAAACAAGTAACAAGAAGCATGTTGCTCGAGCAGGCGCGCTTCTTTGTCTCCGCCAAAATTGACCAGTGAACACTTGAACAGCTGTTTGAACAGCTGCTCCCTTAGCTTTCCTAGTTGCCCATGGATATCTGGAAGTTGGGTGATCTCACGTTGCTTCACTGTTGCATTCTAGCCATGACTGCCCTTTGCTCCGGTTGCTCCCACCGCCGCACTTCTTGCTTGAAAACGTGCTGTAGCCGCCATAGACAGTGGGCAGAAACGAATAAGGCTTACTGTATATATAAGAATGAAAGCATGTCAAAAAAACTGAAAGCACGCTCTCTCCAACGAACGGGTTTCTTTAGATCTGTTTGTCTTTTTTCCCCTTGGCTGAAGTTCGCTGCAGGAGATGCAACAACTCAGCTCCTTTCGTGCGCAAATGGTGGGCACAAGCGGTCGTCCCGGCTATCATGTAATTAGTCCATAAGGTATTTGCGACTCAGGCAACTGAGAAGGCTTTGAGGTAGACACCGCCGACTTGAGAGGATGGAACTCCACAAGTCCGAGAAAAAATGCACGAGCCCAACCTGAGCACAGCACCTCTTACAGGGGGTGCTGTCTACACGAGACTGACGGCGTTTCATCGTTTCAATTCAAAAGCAACCCCACAAATAGGTATGGCAGCTGAACATTCACTACAGAAAATCCAGTTTCTCCAGAACCGAACCTGGATATACCTGGATGCTATGTCAGGATGGGCAGCAGTTAGAGTGGCTCGTCCGAGTGGCAATCATCACACGACGCGAGCAAAGCGTTTAAATAGAACGACCCACTGTTCCACTCTGCACAGCTCTCCACCTTTGATGGACATCCTTTTGACCAATGGACCGGGAGATTGATGGAATTGTTCGATGCCTTGACAAGGCATTGTCTTGTGAAATTGTAGAAACAAAGGTGTCCAAAATAATCCCCTAGCCATCCCTAGCCTTCTATAGATATCTTCAGTAGTGCAGGATGTCGTCCGGCAAAAGTGAGTAGCTGCCTATCTACTTGCCTGGATCTCTGAAAGGCTGTTGTTTGATCTTTGAAATGGTCGTGGGTAGAAAGGAAAGGCCCACCATCTGGAGCGACATGTTGGGTAGATGATTCAGTTCATGGGAGAAGTGTATATATATATAGGTTTACAAATTCTATCTATGATCTATTATATATATATTACATTCATTCATGACAGCTGGGTGCCCGGTCATTGGGTAGCTCATCAACTATGCTGAAAATATGTATTCACAGAACCCAACATAGGAAAACATCATGAAACATAAGAAAAAATTATTTCACATTAAAACAAATTATTTCACATATAAAAAAATTAAAAAAAAATTAAAAAACATATTGCAACACACAGCAGCTATATTGCCCTTTGTGATCCACCCCACTCTTGTTTTCCAATGCAGTGAGCGGTTTAAGTCTTTCTGCTGTACTTTGCCTTGGCTGGCATTTCAACCATTATTGAATCCAGCTCTTCCATGATTTCATCATGGATCTGTCCTGGCTGCTGAATCTTTGAGTCTGGCAGCTTGTACAATGGCTTGGCTGCCAGCTGACTCTTCCAAACAATCCAGGCATGAGAGTGAACCTCTCTCAATTTGGATTGCCAATTGACTTGGTCTTTGGCATTGAAGGATCTTGAAAATGAAGAAATATTCAAAGAAGAGTGGAATGCTGCAGTCCATCTGTGATCATTACCTCAAGTGAAGCACAATGCAAACAATTGGTTTGGAATTGGAACACTTGAATCCACCCATTGGGGTATACAGTTGGATTGGAACTGTAGTAATGCAAAAATATGTTGGGATTGGAATGCAACTGACATCACACATCACCAAAAAACATACTGATTATCAAAAAGCATCTGTTCAACCTCAGGCTGCAGCCTGGAGGGCAAATCTTTTGCAGAATCTGTGGGGATTGGTACAGGTTTGGGCCTCTAGGCTTGGTGGGTGCTGAAGCTGCTGGCTGTGGTTCAGCTGCTGACTGTGTTTC